TCTTAGTTTGGTAGAAGTATAATGTTGCAATTTCAATTGTGCCCTTTGAATTTAAGGATGTGTATGCTTGCTTATATTGAGGATTTTATCCCCTGATCTTTATCTAATCTATCAAAAAGTTTTGTATTGTGTTAAGGGATGATAAACTTTTTCCTTTTCTTATTTGTCTCAAGAAAGAGAATAAAATAGTCTCTTATCGTGGAAAAAAATTTTTTAAAAAGAGAGGGACGGACTGGACTCTGACCTCTCGAGGTCCCTTCCACTCCTAGTATTCTATGATTCTATGATTAATTAGCATTCACTTGGACTGAAGGCTTGTCAACCTAGATAAATTGACCAACAAAACTAAAGTGATATATATATAATGGCACAGGCATAGAAGTATAATTATGTCTCCACATGCATGTAGAAACACTAATTTATTCCAAAGTAGAGTGCCCATAAGGGGAATTATACCAGCCTAGCTATAATGATATAATTTTACTTGCTATTAGTTATCCAGCTAGTTTCCCCATGTAGACAAGCCTTAAGTAAGGGAAGGGAAAATTGCTCAGAGGTGTGGTATGGCTGAGATACTAACACTTCGGGCCTAGGAATAAAAATTGTGTAAATAGTTGGTATTCTAGCCAAGTGGTGTTAAGCAAGAAGCAAAGGTCGCACTGAAGTGCTTTATGTACTTGATAAGCATTCTTTTGCCAACCTAAGTATTTTGAGTCTTGTCACATGTTGAATATAGTGAGTATTAAGTCAGAGATGGGATAGTGATAAACTTTTTTTTCTAAGTGCTGATTTATAATTGCATGTATGTGGACAAGAAAATAAAAAATAAAGCAGTGTTATATACGGAGGCTCCCAGCATGCTAAATTAAAACAATTTGGAAGCACTCTTAATAAAGTGCCTGTGAAGATGCCTCTTTTGTTTTGTGACCCTGAAAATATATGAAATTGTGCCTTCATAACCATAAAGGGAGCTTTACTGTTATTTTAAGGTAAATTGACTGAAAACTTACCCCCCCCACACACACACACACTTCCTCCCCATGTAGATGATGTCAAATGTGCTGGTGTGCTAAAGCCTTCTCTACACTATGTCTCTGTGTGTGTATGGTATTCTTATACCAGTTTCAAAGCAATGCAAGCTGCTGGGTCCAAGTCATGTTTTGGATTACTAAAGCCACAGTAATAGCTACATGTTGTATTGTAGATAAGTCATGAGAGAGGGAAGAGAAGATGGCAGAAACAGAGAAACATATCCAAAACACATAAAAATTGGCTTATTCCAAGAGTTTCCTATATAACTAGGATGTGACCCAATCTATAGATTTTATTGGCTACCAGTTACTCTATTCTATCTGAATTTTCGGATAAACAGCATTTTATTTGCTCTGCTCCCTCTTTTGTTGATACCTACTATAGTTAAATGATATCTCGTGAGAGCCAGAAGGGCAAAGGAGAAGAAATGTAAGAAGTCATATTCCCATTGTATATGGGGAAACTGAGATATCCAGGATTATACAGTAAGTTGCAGGCTGAGCAGGAAGGAACTCAGGTCTCCTGCCTAACCTGTACCCATTGGACCATTCTCCTTAGCACTTTAGGCCTGGGGTCAGTGATGGGTGAGTGCAGAAAAGTTGTATGCTGTACGACTAAACTCTGTCTCCACTTGCATCCCTGCTGATGTTGGTAGAAAGTGGCTGGATTGTTTCTCCATCCTGTTCTAAAAATATATGTACAACTTTTTTCTGGACACTTACCTATACAGTTTACTGACATTCTTCCACTACAGGCAGTCTCCGACTTACGCGGATCCCACTTATGTCGGATCCGCACTTACGAACGGGGCTTTTCTCGCCCCGGAACTCACGGGCAGCGGGTCGCCACCTGTGTCCTCTGGGGCGAGAAAAGCTTCTCCCGGTCTCCCTGGTCTGGACTGGGAGCTTATAGGAGGCTTGCAGTCATGGTCCAGGATTCTTCTGTTCCCAGCTAACTCAAACTGCTTTCTAGGCTATTAACTAAGCAGTCCTCTAAAGCGTTCATGAATTTCTCTATCCTTCCCCTGCCACACATGCATAAACAAGGAAGACTCTCCCCTTTGAACTGCCACAGTTCAAACAATAAGCTTTATTGAACTCTATTGCTTTCATAGCCCTGACCAGGCAGTTCTTCAGCACAATCAATAGACAGCAAAATGAACTCAATTCCATCCTTGTAAAAACCCTCTTAACTTCTTTTGGATGTGTGCCTAACCGATGAGGCAGCCAAGCACTGTATTTCTAGACTCAAAGACAGATTTGGCGATCAGTAGAGCTCCTGGCTACTAAGAGAAGACCTAGGAGGTGGGAAAATATTATAGCTACAAAACAACCTAGAGAACCAGAAACAACAAAATATTAGCAGAATGATTAGCCAGTGAGGGAAAGATTAGAGTGGTGATTAAGATCCCTTTTTTCCCTCCAAAATTCTGCTCCCCAGTGGTTCTGTCCCAGCCCCGTGAGGCACGAACAATGACGAACCAGATTATAATTTACGTTCTCCCAAAGAGTGAGTTCCCACAGATTAAGAGTTACTATTCTATCTGCATACATAAACAAATTCACGACATGTCTGTATACATAAATAAGTGGAATATATGACACTGTGCTGTAAAGATTTTATCAACGTAAGTAGGGTCACCAGGTGTCCGGTATTTTTACCTCCTGTCCGGTAAAAAAATTCAGAAAATACCGGAAACCTAAAATGTCCGGTATTTTCTGTTTTTTTCCCCTTGCCAGGAGGCAAAAATCCCAGACACCTGGCAACCCTACATACACTCAGCAACCTGCAGCTAGTGCCCCTCACCCCCAGCAGACCAGGCTTTTCTTGCCTACCCCTGGGGTAGAGCAGCTGGGGGCTGCCGGGTTGGAGACAGGGTGGCATTAAAAAGGAAAGCGTCCTCATAAGTGTGGTGTTGGTTGGTACAGAAGATAGCTTTCTGTAGAAATATAATGATTTAAAAGTGCTGATGTTAAGACTGTCTTTAAGAGACTATAATGTTATTGGTATATGAAAACCTCCATGTAGATGATGTCAAATGTGCTGGTGTGCTAAAGCCTTCTCTACACTATGTCTCTGTGTGTGTATGGTATTCTTATACCAGTTTCAAAGCAATGCAAGCTGCTGGGTCCAAGTCATGTTTTGGATTACTAAAGCCACAGTAATAGCTACATGTTGTATTGTAGATAAGTCATGAGAGAGGGAAGAGAAGATGGCAGAAACAGAGAAACATATCCAAAACACATAAAAATTGGCTTATTCCAAGAGTTTCCTATATAACTAGGATGTGACCCAATCTATAGATTTTATTGGCTACCAGTTACTCTATTCTATCTGAATTTTCGGATAAACAGCATTTTATTTGCTCTGCTCCCTCTTTTGTTGATACCTACTATAGTTAAATGATATCTCGTGAGAGCCAGAAGGGCAAAGGAGAAGAAATGTAAGAAGTCATATTCCCATTGTATATGGGGAAACTGAGATATCCAGGATTATACAGTAAGTTGCAGGCTGAGCAGGAAGGAACTCAGGTCTCCTGCCTAACCTGTACCCATTGGACCATTCTCCTTAGCACTTTAGGCCTGGGGTCAGTGATGGGTGAGTGCAGAAAAGTTGTATGCTGTACGACTAAACTCTGTCTCCACTTGCATCCCTGCTGATGTTGGTAGAAAGTGGCTGGATTGTTTCTCCATCCTGTTCTAAAAATATATGTACAACTTTTTTCTGGACACTTACCTATACAGTTTACTGACATTCTTCCACTACAGGCAGTCTCCGACTTACGCGGATCCCACTTATGTCGGATCCGCACTTACGAACGGGGCTTTTCTCGCCCCGGAACTCACGGGCAGCGGGTCGCCACCTGTGTCCTCTGGGGCGAGAAAAGCTTCTCCCGGTCTCCCTGGTCTGCTGGGGGGGGTCCAGCAAAGTCGCTGGACCCCCCCAGCACACCAGGGACAACCGAGCAAAGCCGCCGCCTGGGCGGCTTTGCTTGTTTGCCCGGGAGCAAAGCCGCCCAGGCAGCGGGACCCCCGCCCCCTGGGCGGCTTTGCTCCTGTCCCCCTGATCTGCTGGGGGGGTCCAGAAAAGCTGCTGGACCCCCCCACCAGACCAGGGACACCTGAGCAAAGCCGCCAGCGGCTTTGCTGGCCCCCCCTCCCCCA